GGGCTCAAGTGATCCTCTTGCCTCAGTTTTTCTATTTTTAGTAGAGATGGGGTCTTTTGCTCAGGCTGGTCTTGAACTTGTGAGCTCAAGCAATCCACCCGCCTCGGCCTCCCAGAGTGCTAGGATTATAGGTGAGAGCCACTGCGCCCAGTGACACTTTCTTTTCATAAATTTAGTGTAGCCTAAGTGTACAGCATTTACAAGGTCTACGGTAGTGTCCAGTAATGTCCTAGGTCTTCACATTGCTCACTCACCCAGAGCAACTTCCAGTCCTATGAGCGACACTCATGGCAAGTGCCCTGTGCAGGTGTACCGTTTTTTATCTTTTATACTGTATTTTTACTGTACCTTTCCTATGTTTAGATACAAATCTGTGGCATCGTGTTACAGTCGCCTGCAGTCTCAGTTCAGTAGTGCGCTGTACAGATTTGTAGCCACAGAGCAGGCATGCGGTCAGCTATACCTAGGTTTGTGTTAAGTACACTCCATGATGTTCAGACAATGACAAACTCACCTAACGATGCATTTCTGAGAACACACTCCCCTTGCTAAGCAATGTATGACTGAAGTTGGAGTTACAGTATGTAGCCTTTGAAGATTGGCTTCTTTCACTTACTATTACCCACTTAAGTTTCTTCCATGTCTTGAGAGTTCACTTCTTTTTATTTGCTGTCTTTTGTTTTTGAATTGTGATAAAGCACAGATAGCATAAAATTTACTGAACTATTTTTAAGTGTGCAGTTCAGCAAGTACATTCACAATGCTGTGTGACCAGTCTCTCGAACTCCATGTCCACTAAACAACTCTCCATGCCCCCGTGCCCCAGAGGCAAGCATTCTTAAGCAAGCATTCTTCTACTTTCTGTCTGTTTCAATTTGACAGGTGCAGGTATCAGCCTAAGCAAGACCTCATCTCTATAAAGAACAGAAAAATTAGCCACACATGTAGGGTGACCAGACGTCCCGATTTTTAACAATTTGTCCTGTGTCCTGTGGCGTTTTTAAAAAGTCCCAATTTTTGGAAAGAATGCACGAACGGGCGGGAGAACATTAAGGGAATATACGGTTTTCGGCTTCCATGTGGCTATTTCTCCAGGATATGAGTTTTATATTATTTTTGTTAATTTTATAATGTTAAACTGTAATAATTACAAATAATTGTTGAGACGTGATTATCGAGAACTGCTTATCAAAGTTTGCATTGTTGCCTCCACCCCACCCCCACCCCGTCAATGGTGTCCTGCTTTACCAATGTTAAAATCTGGTCACCTTACACACATGGTGGCCCACACATTTAGTCTCAGCTTCTTGGGAGGGTGAGCCAGGATTGCTTGAGCCTAGGAGTTTTAGGTTGCAGTGAGATACAATGATGCCACTGCACTCTAGCCAGGGCAATTAAGTGATAATCTATCTCAAAAGAAGGATTAAAAATTAAGTTTTCATTAAAATTTTTAACATTTCTTTTTGTTGTTATTTTTTATAGACAGGGTCTTGCTATGTTGCCCAGGCTGGTCTGGAACTCTTGGCCTCAAGCAATCCTTCTGCCTCAGCCTACTGAGTTGCTAGAATTACAGGCATCAGTCACTGCACCCAGGAATTTGCAACAATTTTATTATTATAATCTAAGTCTTTGTACAGTTTATGATAACTTTATTTCCAATTTCAAAAAACTATCAAATTAGTTTGTCTGGAAATTCTTTTTTTTTTTTTTTTGAGACAGAGCCTCAAGCTGAGCCCCTGGGTAGAGTGCCATGGCTTCACTGCTCACAGCAAACTCCAACTCCTGGACTCAAGCAAGTCTCCTGCCTCAGCCTCCCAAGTAGCTGGGACCACAGGTGCCCACAATGCCTGGCTATTTTTTGTTTGCAGCCATTATTGTTGTTTGGTGGGCCTGGGCTGGATTCGAACCCGCCACCTTAGGTATATGTGGCTGGTGCCTCAGCTGCTTGAGCCACAGGCGCCGAACCTGGAAATTCTTGAGGAAAAACACACTAAGTGTATTTTAAACCAATAGTTTAATAATAGTTATTTCTTTACAAATTACATTTCTTTGCCTTTTACAACTAGTTGATGGTGTACATAGCAGTGAGAATAAAATTCTTTTTTTTTTTTTTTTTTTTTGAGACAGAGCCTCAAGCTGTGCCCCTGGGTAGAGTGCCGTGGCATTACAGCTCACAGCAACCTCCAACTCCTGGGCTCAAGCGAGTCTCCTGCCTCAGCCTCCCAAGTAGCTGGGACCACAGGTGCCCACAATGCCTGGCTATTTTTTGGTTGCAGCCGTCATTGTTGTTTGGCGGATCCGGGCTGGGGATTTGAACCCGCCACCTTAGGTGTACGTGGCTGGCGCCTTAGCCAGTTGAGCTATAGGTGCCGAGCCGAGAATAAAATTCTTAAGCAAGTACGTGGCCTCTAAATGCTTGATTTTTAAATGACTGCATTTGAAAGGAATGCCTTGGAAGGCAGAGAGCAGAACAGGGGTGGTAGTTAAAAATCAATATGGCTGGCAGGGTGCACTGGCTCATGCCTGTAATCCTAGCACTCTGGGAGGCTGAGGCAGGCAGATTGCTTGAGCTCAGTTCAAGACCAGCCTGAGTAAGAGCAAGACCCCTCTCTACTAAAAATAGAAAAACTAGTTGGGTGTTATGGTGGGTGCCTGTAATCCCAAGTACTTAAGAGGCTGAGGTAGGACCAAGAGTTTGAGGTTGCTGTGAGCTATGACACATACAGTACTCGACCCAGGGCAACAAAGTGAGACTCTTGTCTCAAAAAAAATAAACAATACGGCTACCTCATTTGACTCATTTTAAAAAACAATGTAAAAAATACTATTTAAATTGCCAGAACTTCTGGAGAGTTGGTGATTTAAGAATAAAATGTTGCTTTTAGACTATTTCATTTTATAATGAATGCTACAGTTTTTAAACAGATGATATTGGTTATTTTTAAAGTAATCCCACTATACTTAAAATCCTACTAATTTCATTTTCATATTCTACTCCACTTTCCCCAGATATATTTCAAAGTATCTCAGATACATGCAAATGAATAGGAAAAGATGTTCAACTTCACAAGTAGAATAATACTGTTTTAGCTTTTGATGATTAGAATTACTTCTAAAAACTAGGTAGAAGGTTGGGTACAGTGGCTCACCTCTGTAATCCTAGCTCTCTGGGATTCTGAGGTGGGTGGTCTGCCTGAGCTCACGGGTTCAAGACCAGCCTGAGCAAGAGTGAGACATCCCCACCACTAAAAAATAGCCAGGTGCTGTGGCAAGCGTCTGTAGTCCCAGCTACTTGGGAGGCTGAGGCAAGAGAATTGTTCAGGAGTTTGAAGTCACTGTGAGCTATGACGCCACAGCACTCAACCAAGGGCAACAAACTGAGACTGTCTCACACACACAAAAA